TATATTTAAAAATGAATTTTTACTTACGTTAATTGTATTCATTTAGCATTTAATACTGAAAATGCAAATTTTTAAAAAATATATAAACCAAGTAGCATTTAAATAATTTTCCTACCACAATTGTTGAAGTAATCCATTTTAGAAATATTAAAAATTAATCTTATATTGAAAATCTTTAACAAAATTTTTGAACAGTTTTTGCATTAAATATCATTTTTATTTAAAAAATTAAACATTATAATTATGTGTAGTATTATAATTAGAATCAGTAACATTAAAAATTATACTACACTCAATTTGCAATTAATAAACCTTGTGACAATTATCGTTTGTTGAACTAAATGTTTTATAATATTAAACTTAAAATGTATTAAAATGCAATATTTCACACATATTTAATAAAAAATAAAACATTAATTAAGAATAATAACAATAAACCTGCAAAATGTTATATAAAAAATAGTCGTTATGATTAATTAAAAAATTTAATTTATGTTATAAATATATAATGTTTGTTAAATAACTAAATAAATAATAATATTATTATTGTAAAAATCATGAATTATTTAATTATTATATTATTATTATTTATATGCCTATCATTGAATACTATCGATGCGTTAATACGTATAAAATTGCATAAAATGACATTAATTTGCAACAAAATACATAAAAGTGGTGTCAATATGAACGAAATTATACCGAAAACACACCATGGTCCATTAACCAAAAAGTTAGCAGTAATTTTGACTAACGATATGAACGATGAATATTATGGACTCATATCTCTCGGTACACCACCTCAAGAATTCAGAGTATATAAACTTTTATTAATTAAAATTAATTTTATAATTTTTAAATTAACATTTAACCATAAATTTAATTACCAGGTAGTGTTTGATACGGGCAGCGCTGACCTATGGGTGCCGTCACCAAAATGCGGTTCGTGTGCCTGTATTGTACACCGTAAATATTATTCAGCAAAATCATTGACGTATGTCAAAAATGACACCAAATTTTCAATACAGTACAACATCAGTGCAAACGGTTTTTTAAGCATTGATACTCTAAGCATAGGCAATATTAAAGTAGTAAACCAGACATTTGCACAGATGACATCAATACCGGGTCCGGCGTTTGTGCTGGGTGATTATGACGGTGTAATGGGAATGGTATTTTAATCAGTTTCAGCGGCCAACACAATCACACCGTTTCAGCACATGATAGCACAGGGAGTGGTGTCGGCGCCGGTCTTCTCCTTCTACCTGAACCGAGACGTGAAGGGAAGGCCCGGCGGAGAGCTTATACTCGGCGGCTCCGATCCCGACCACTATTCTGGTAGCTTTACGTACGTCCCGGTGACCGATCCGGGCTATTGGCAATTTAATATGTCTCGTATAAAAGTGAATGGTGACCAAGGTGGTGTATTTTGTCCAAATGGCTGTCCGGCCATTGCCGACACCGGCACCACTTTGATTGTCGGGCCAATTCAAGAGACCAATGCAATAAATGCATTGATTGGGGCCACAAATCAGGGCAAGGGTAATTGGGCGGTCAATTGTTCTAGTATAGAGACGTTGCCAACAATTACCTTTATTATTGCCGGCAGGCTTTTCCCGATTGAACCCTCGCTATATGTTTATACACGAATTGGGCCAAATGGTGGGACACAATGTTTATCTGGTTTTCAAGGTTTGACTGATTTGGGTGATTTATGGATTTTGGGCGCTGTGTTTATTGGGCCTTATTATACAGAGTTTGATTATGGTAGAAAGCGACTTGGATTTGCGCCTAGTAAATAATTATTTTAATTAATAATTTTATTAATTAAGATGATTTTTAAAATTTTATAAATTATTTGATAATAATAAATTTGTATTTATTCATCCCTTTCATCTGCCCCATTTAATTAAATTTATAACAATTGTGTTATTTTATTATAATTGATATATCATATTTACAGTTTTCTAATATAACATCTTGCATCGTCTTGTAACATATAATTAATTAATATTGTGTTGATAGTAAATAAATTCATATATTAAATAATTAATAATTGTCACTATAATGGTTAGTAATAAAGAGTCAAATAGTTGCTGAATGTTTTGCACTATGTCAATATAATTATATAAATTATTTATAAAATCAAATATATAATACAAGGTTTAAAGAATTTTCAGTGCACAAACATGTATGATTATAAAGAACAAATAAAAAATGAATAATTACAATATAATAATTAAATACTAATAAGTTTGCGTTTAAAATATATTATATTGATATGACTCACATGACTCACATATCCTAATTATTCTATTGGTTTAAATTCTGTACTTTTCCACTGTATTCAAATTGTATGCCTTATTGCCAACCAATCATAGCATTCACTTTCCAACAGTTTTCCTGTAACCTTTAGCCCAATACTCACCTGTACTCCATATACTGTACCTGTATTTAAGAGCAGCGCTTTCTGTGCTCTCCGGTTAGTCTCTGTGTGAGCCCTCGACTGTCCAGTCGCTCCACTGACTCCACTCTATCTGAGTGTCAGCCATTATCCATGTGCTCACCGGCCATACCTTTGGACCAGCACTTCATTGTCTCATAAGCTAACCGGTCATATCTTGGACCAGCTTTTATCTCAATTATCTTATTTTGTTATCTATTTTATTGTGCTTTTATACAAGTTTTAATCATACATTTTATAACATAATTTACATCTAAATTGTGACCTAAAATAAACTCTATTCAAAGAGAAACTCATTTCGTGTCTATTTAAACCCAAATCTGGGGACAAAAGTACTATTGTCTGCCAGCCATCCATTTTGATTAGAAATATTCTAATCAAAATCAAACAGAAGTTTTCTGATCAAATCATTACATCAAAGTTTGGACTCAACCATCGCTGCTATCACTCCAAAGCATACCACTTGTCGCTCCCCACTAACTCTGCCCACGGCTTACGTGATCACTCTCTGGACAATAACCCACGTTTGTCAGAGAGCTAACTCTTATTCAACCCTCTTCCACGACATTATTCATTAAGGTTGCGCTCGATCAGAGACAGCACCTTAAGAATATGATTTAAAATAAAAATTAATTTTAGATTATGAAATTAATATGTAAATTATTCTTATGGCTTTTTCTCAATAAAATACCTGTTTTAAAATATGATTAAATATTAATATCATTTATTGGGTTATTACAGTTTTTATCTACAATTTCATTATAATTATTATGAATTTATGCAATTAGTATTGATTTAATTATATATGTTCATAATTAATAATTTAATGTTTTTTAATTTTATAATAAATTAATAATATTTTAGATCAAAATTATATAATTCCATTCAAATAATATAATATAACAGTATTTACCATACGATATGTTTTATTTAAACGTCAAAATAATATTTAAATAACATGATTGCAAATGCATATAGTAATTTTTATTTAAATCAATTGAGAATCATGGTATAATCATCGTGAATAAAATATCCTTTATTTACTGTACTCACTTTAAATTGACTAATGGCTGTACATAAATGTTAAACACATAAATCTACATATGGTAATATACTGTTAATATAATAATTGGAACGACTAAACAAATACGTAATTTTTACCATGTATTTTACCATTATTTAACCACCTTTTGGTTATACAATTAAATGTTTTTAAACATCTGATTGATTAATTTTAATAATTGACATTAATATTTAAATTAAAATATTGCGTTGGCATAGTAATTTGAAAATATTAAAAATTTTTAAATAGAAATTCACATTTAAAAAATCTAGAAAATTAATATTAATGTTATTACATAGTTTAATATTATAAAAAGTAAGGCCTGGGCTATCGCTGGGCCATGCTGGCCTGGTCACCATTTAATATGTAAGTTATAGCGCATGATTAGGGGTCCTCGTAAATGTTGTCCATTTCGTCGTAGGACCTCGGGTTCGGGAGTAGTGACCACTTTTATTCGGTAAATTTTAAGACAATTTATTTTTATTAGACGAATGAATATGTCATATGATATATCAATGGAAAGGATTTGATGACTAGAACACGAATACGAAGAAATCGCTTAATTTCAATATACCATTAAAAAGTTATAGCAAAAACAATCATTTAAATACAATAATTTTACGTTATTTATGATTTAAAACGTAAATTATGTTAAGAGCATTTTTAGTTCAATAATAGAGCCCTTGTATCATGTAGTAAAATATTTAGTGAAATTATCATTTTGTCAAAATGGCCCAGTGCTCCATGTAAATCCTATATGCCGATAGCCTTGTCCTTTATATTATTAATATTCAGAATAAAATTATTGTAGACTAATCTAAAATCAAATTAAATATTATTATAATATATAAATTACATAATAACATAATTTAATAAACTGTAGCAAAACTTGTGATTACTTGTTTTAATGTACTATTTGTAAAATTTTTATTTAAATTGGTTGGAATAGAAGTCCCGTTTTATTAATTACATAAATTTTATATTTGTTACATATAGTAGTTAACAATAATAAACATTATACCACAATTTTATCATTATTATATAGCTGATTGTATTTATAACAGTGCGGGTTGTTTGTACTGACCAGTGCTATGGCGGAGGTTGTGGTGGCGGCAACAGTGGCGGATATGGCTCTAACGCTAGTATGGGTAGCAATAAAAAAATGCATTAAAGTTCATATACAGTCAATGTATAAACAGTCATTTTTTTTATTGAAATTTACACTCAGTGTAAATTTTACCCATATAAGCTCTAACGTATTCATTGAACTGCCGTTAAATCGCGCCATAAGATAGAAGTGATGCCCACTTACGGACACCAGGAGTCGCACTCGACCCACGTAGACGTGCCCGTACAGGTCTACCCCGTGTACATGACATTCCGCACCCAATCGTCGCCCATCTATGTTAAGCAACACATCGCGGCTCAAAGGGATCGTACCAGCACTCGTCCAATAAGTAACCAAACCCGAGATTCAGGAGCTCAAAGAGATTATGACACCGTTCAAAAACAATTGTCTATGTTATTCAATTTGTGGTTGTGTCCTAGTTGCATAAAAGTTATTGTTAATAAACTCTACTCAAAGCACAAAGTTATAAATTTCTTTATATAATTGTCTTAAAAACTGTATACTTAATGTATACGATTATAAAACATATACTTTTGTAATTTTATATATTTAAAATGGTGTCATCTACACAATTCTATTTATTTTAAATTATAGAAAATTAATAATTTATTTTATTTATAAATGATTTTTGTTTTTTAAAATCTGTACAACCATCTTGGATATTAAATTATATAAACAATTAATTAATTTAAAGATTTAATAACATAGGAAATTAATTTATAATTAACTCATGTCCGCATAACTCCCCCTTCATCAAATTGAGAGATGTGGTCAACAATGATTGACAGGTTACAAGTTTTGTCCAAATTCTAAGTGTACTTGCAAATGAATTTATTTTATTATCTCAAATTTTGCATTAAAAATGTTACAAATTTTTTTTAAATTAATTTAGTAATTTAATTATTTTTGTAATCGCAATTAAAATTAGTAAGTGTGATAAAACAATTAGGTTACTCGTAATAAAAAACGTATACAATTATTACAAAATTTCTTATTTTTTAAATAACGTTTTCTAATTAAATCCTAATTTGAAAATTCCTTCAGGATTATATTCATCTCATTCATACCTTTCTATCTAGATATAATATGTTATACTTATTCATAAATTTAA